GTAACGTAACGTAACGTAAATACCTAACCCTAACCACGTACGCGGACGGTACGGACGTACGTACGCCGACTACTACTACTCCTCTCTCTCTCTCCTCTCTCTCTCTCTCTCTCTCTCTCTCTCTCTCTCTCTCTCCCCCCTCCCCCTCCTCTCTCTCTCTCTTCTCTTCTTCTCTCTCTCTCTCTCTCTCTCGCTCTCTCGCTCTCTCGCTCTTTCACTCTCTCTTTTTCTCTCCTTCTCTCTCTCTCCGTCTCTCTTTCTCCAGTTTTTGCAGAGCAAGTTGAAGAGCTTCTGTACTGCACGTGTGCGTATCTACGTATATATATATATATATATGCGTATGTGTGTGTGCGCGTGTGTGTGTGGTGCGTGCGTGCGTGCGTGCGTGTGTACAAATGTAGCATCGCGTATCGAATCAGTAATGGAAAAATTCAACAAAGTTTACTATAATAAATTTGCTATGAATAGAAGCATAAATATATTTTCAAATCTCTGTTTCTTGAATATAATCACATGCATGCAAGAGTCGTTTACCTCAATATTTTCACGGTAATAAATTATCAAACCACATTCTTCTAATTGTCACTGCGCTTATTCTCGTGATATGCCATGCTATTTTTTAGACATTTTAAAATAGAAATTAAAATAATCTAATGAAGCGCATATGATATGCTGTATATCGTTCATGGAACACGCTGTAAATGCTGTTACTTTTCTTGCAAGCTGACAGGCTACATGCTACCGTCGTTTCAAAACGTGTACGTAATCAGACTGTATTTATTACACAGTAGTATCAATGTAGCACATAAATGACTATATACAAGTCCATGTGGGATAATTTATTCCTGGCTATTATATGGACGCACCTGCGTTCGTGCGTACGTGCAGCCAAAGAAAAAAAACAATCTTAAAAATACCAAACGTATAGTACATGTTTCTCTTGTAATGTTTAAACTTGCAAGAGTTGAGTATTATAAACGCTTTTGTTATTTAAATAATGTCTTTGGATAGTTCGTTGAATCACGAATACAATATTTACACTTATGTGACCTATTTTCATATGGTAATCGTTATATTAATTAGGCTAACTCTCATTAACAATGCCACATATCGTTTGCTACTTGGCAAAAAATTAAAAAAGCGAATTACGACTTTTAAATGACGAGAACATAACAAGAATGTCAAGAAAAAATATTATGACCCGTCTCGGTGATTAGACATTAAGTAACGTATTCGTCTGTGAATCACGTAACCCACCTATAAATATCGTAATCAGGCCCATGAAGCTAGACCAATTCATACTTGTTTCCCACTCGTGCACGCGTGCAAGTTTCGACTTTTCGGCACCTCGTTGCCAAACAGTAATTTGTAACGTTCTATCACTTCAATTAATGTTTGCCAAGCACGCCAGGATGATAGGTAAATTAGCAACTTCGAGTGGCCTAATGATTGGTCCACTGGCCTAACAGCAGCTCGCGTATTCGCCTGATTCTAATATTTGAAGAAAGACATCCTCTGCCGGCGCCTAGCATTATGAGATTCCAAACATCCGGTTAACATTAATTCACGTGCAGATATCCTAATGAAATGCACGTATATATTAGCGGATGTCAATGAATTAACACCTACATATACACATATATACACAAAAAACAACTTATATAGAAATATGCGCGACCCTACGTATAATGCTCCTGCTTCTATCTGAGGCTTGAGTCGTGTATAGAGATGGGCGTATGCCCCATATGCGAGTAGAAACTATGTGGCGTAGCATACCCACCACCGTGACTCATGAGGTAAGGTAGGGCTGAGCCTGCGCTTGCCAGGTAGTGCATCTGCGAGCCATACGGTAGCAGTCCGTGACCGTAGTGTGAAGAGTAGCCTAGCGACGACATCGGTGGAGAGGGTGCTATCGTTGGACTGTTCGCGTCCATACCCGGATTCTGCTTTTTCCACTTAGTGCGTCGATTCTGGAACCAGATCTTGACCTGCGTCTCCGTGAGACTCAGCGACAGCGCGAGGTTGAGTCGCTCGCACACGGACAGGTAACGAGTTGTCTTGAATTTGTTCTCGAGGGCGACGAGCTGCTCATAAGTGAACGCCGTACGCGCTCGCCGAGGCTTGCCGGCCTTGCTGTCACCGCCACCTGGCGGTCGCTTCTTCTTACTCTTACCGTCCGTGTCGACGGACGACGACATCTCGGGCTTGTCGCATTTCGCGTCGCCGTCGGTCGTCGCGTCGGCGTCGTCGTCGTTGTCGGCTGAGGATGCCTCGTCGTCCGATTCCTCGAGTTTGTTGCCTGAGGGCAGAAGAAAGACGCGGTTATCGAGTGTAAGGCTGATGTCAATGTCTTGGTTCGTACGATGGCTTCTACACTCACCATAAACGCGCGCACACACACGCACACGCACGCATGCACACACCACACGCACACGCACACGCACACGCACACGCACACGCACACGCGCACGCACACGCACACGCACACGCACACGCACACGCACACGCACACGCACACGCACACGCACCCGCACACGCACACGCGCAGGCACACGCACACGCACACGCACACGCACGTACACACACACGCACGCACGCACACACACACGAATATATAATATACATGTGCATGTTGTGTATGTGTGTGTGCGCGCCCGTGTATTTGTGTCTGCCTGTGTGTGTGTGTGTGAGGGGGGGGGGTGGTAAATAAAGATTATAAATTATAAATATATATATATATATATATATTTATTTATTTATTTATATTTGTACAAACCCTATTCTAGTATACTTGTATTATAAAACGCTAAACTATCGGTGTTATTTTACATGTATTATTATATATATATATTATATATAAATTGGCAAAACAAAAAGAAAATTTACAGAGAGAGCCTCGTAGCATTTGAGGACAATCCGCAGAACCGATCAAAATCATCCTGCAAGTGTACATTTTAACCTGACCATTCATTCAATGAATTTAACACACTAACATTGATTTCTAGTGAAACGAACGCAACCGAAAACGGTTAGAAATACATATAATTTATCCGCTTGCAACCGTGCGCCCAGATGAACCTATATTAAATTTGTATAGTAACTGACTGCCTTTATCAATGCTATTATTTATATATCAGGTTTTATATTTATATCAACCAGACGCGCTTACTATTAACATCAAATTTGCATAGTAACTGACTGTTTGTATTGTTGTTATTATTTTATATATAATTTCTAAGACGTTTTGTTATTTGCTTGGATATTTCGTTTCATCACATTTTTCCGAATATTACATGCGTCCATAGCTTTCTTATTATTTGCAGTATTATTCATATTATTATTACATGCATACTATTATTATTGCATTATGACAATATTCCTATATTATTTTCTTAATATGTTAATCAAACTACTAACCCTTATTGTTTTCAATTTCAGTTCACGCGTTGTTATTATTCGCCTTAGCAACTTTACAGTGGTACTTCCACTTTGAATTGTATTAGAATCGTTTCAGTGTACGTGAACTATGTCCAAGACCGCATGGTCGAAAAGTTAGTTCCGTGAAATAAATAAAGTTTAGTGCAATATTGCTTTACAGTATATATATATATATATATATATATATATATATATATATATACTACTACGTACGTACGTACCGTACCGACGACGTATAGTCGTACGTACGTTCGTCCGTTACGACGTACGTCGTACTACGTTACTTACGTACGTACCGTACCCGT